TATCAATTATCTTTGCAGTGAAAAAGTTCCACAAGATGATATATGGTCGACATTTTACCCTAATAACAGACCATAAACCACTACTTGCAGTTTTTGGGTCAAAGAAAGGAATTCCTGTCCATACAGCTAACAGACTACAACGATGGGCAACCACACTTCTGGGTTACGACTTCAAGATCAAGTATCAGTCTACTACCGCTTTCGGGCAAGCTGACGCATTGTCGAGATTAATAGGCTCTCAATCGAAAACCTCGGAGGAGACTCTTGTAGCAAATATAAAAGCCGAGGAAGAAGTTCATCGCGTGTTGGATGACGCAGTTAATGGACTCCCAGTAACCTTTGAAACTATCAAGAAGATAACTGAAAGTGATAAGATACTGAGCTCAGTTAAATGCTATCTCTTGACCAAATGGCCAAACAATCGCCTTGACGGAGAACTTTTACAATATTTTCGTCGACGGGACTCTCTAATGGTTGTTGACTCCTGTATTATGTTCGGTGATCGCATTGTTATTCCGAAGTTATTACGTCACAAGGTTCTCAAGCAGTTTCACAGTGGCCATCCTGGGATAAGTAAAATGAAATCTTTGGCTCGTAGCTATGCTTATTGGCCGTCAATGGACAAAGATATCGAAAATAAATGCCGTAACTGTTCATCATGTATTCAAGCCGCTAAAAATCCTTCGAAATGCGAACCTCAGTGTTGGCCTATGCCCGCGGGACCCTGGGTAAGACTTCACGCAGATTTTGCCGGTCCAATCCAAGGGAAAATGTTTCTAATTATCGTAGACGCGTTCACAAAATGGCCACAAATCTACGCCATGATGAATTGCACAGCCGGTGAAACAATCAGCAAATTATCCGACCTGTTTAGCTGTTTTGGAGTCCCGCAGACGTTAGTGACCGATAACGGTTCACAATTCACTGCAGAATCATTCAAGCACTTCTGCAACGTTAATGGCATTGTGCACATACGATCTCCCCCGTATCACCCTCAATCGAATGGCCAGGCAGAGCGCTTCGTGGATACATTGAAGAGAGCACTTCTGAAAGGGGGAGGAGAAGGGACAACCGGGCAGGTGATCGCAAAATTTTTAACATCCTACAGATCCACTCCGAACCCGAATGTTCCAGACGACAAATCTCCCGCGGAAGCCATGTTTGGGAGGCGCATTCGAACCATCTTCGATGCCATGTTGCCATCCAAATTAGTGGATGAGCGCAGTCACGGTCCAAGTATCCGAAACTTCAGTGTTGGTGACAAAGTTTACATCAAGTCCTACATCGGGAAGAACCGATGGGAGCCGGGCGAAGTAGTGAAAAAACTGGGAAGAGTACTGTACAGAGTTCGAGGAGCTTTTGGGACATGTATACGTCATACAAATCAAATCCTTAAGGACAAAAGAACGGTGCAGACTCGAAGTAACCGGCCGATTTTCCCGTTAGATTCAATCTTAGACGCACCAACGCCACAAACGCCCAGGAACAGTGAAAAGAAGCCTTGGACAAGGGAAACGACAAGAATAATGGGGCGCCGTCGCTGTCCAGTCGTCAAAATACAATTAGATCCCAGAAAGAAATCTTATTCGGGGGAGGTGTTGGGTCGGCTTCCAGAGAACTTCAACGGAGCCTCCAGAGGCCCAAAAGGAGCCGAAGAGTCCTAGCCAATCAGAGTGTGATGGAACGTTCTAGAATTCCAACGTGGCGTGCTACCATTGGTCGGTAGCATAATGTGTTGTTATCGGATTGGCTGTAAATTGATGTTGATTTAACAGACGCCAAAATCTATAAATACCCATGATTTTCTGTACAAAAATGAACCTTGGAATAAAGTGCTTTCTCTCATTCCTGTGTCTTCTCTCTGGAGTTCAAGTCGCTGTGTAGTTCTAGACTGCGGGTTACCGAAATAGCTTAGGAATCGTATATAGCGTTCAACCTACACGACTTATCAGTACTGTCCACGCAGTAGTCGCGATCAGTGGTTGAAGATCTCGGATGGAATGGCTCAAAATCTTTGGCAATAATACAGATGGATTTATCCAGTGTATTCCTCAAGATATTGGGTTTTTATATTATTTTATATATTTTTTGTTCAACCAATTCATTCCATTTTTTGGTTCATATTCTCTACGTCTAGTCTTTTTTTAACGACTATTTCAAATTATTTTCTATTCATTTGGTTAATTTCAAACTGGCTATGCTAATTTGATTTGGCGACATAGACTGATCCCCACATGTATCTATCTCAACTCTTACTTACTGTGGTTATGACTACTGTCCGACTAATATTCACTTGGGAATTTCAGCAACCATGGCCATGAAATTTACAAATGATCAGTAACCATTTAATCAAGCGAGGGTCGATGATTTCCTAATAAATATTGTCTTCTGTTTTATGTTGTTCCGGTGTGTGGGTTCCCAAATTCACCACTGTAATAAAATCCTGATAATACCAAAAATAGAAAAAGATACACAATCTGAAGAAAATTCGTTTTTTTCTCTGTGTATTATTGTCACAGTTTCAAGCTTTAAAGACAGTTGTAATATTACATTGGGGAAACATCTGTATCATGTCAAAGATTAATCTTACGTTCATTTTGTTGTATATGTTTCCTATCTTCACGACACATTATATATATACCATCCATTCTGGTTGATATAGTTTTGTTTTATAGTCTATATTGGATTTGATATTATCCGTATCATGTGGTAATGATTATTATATATGAAGCCAAAAGAACTTGACATCATCACAACACATGTATGTTTAATCACATAGCATTGACTAAAATAATCGGTTATCTGACTGTCTAGCCATTCGTACTACCAATACACGCGTAAATGCCAATATACACTACTTTCCTTCGTCATGAGTATCAATCACCAACGCTAAAATGGCCTAGTTTAAACAATTTGGAAACTCGATTTCAGCTGGATTTATTTTTAGCCTAGATTATTATATTAGTCTAGTAGTGGTATGATTTCAATCACCATTTTCTAAAGTATGCTTGTTGACCGTTTTGTTTGCCTGTTATTTTCTATTTGCATGAGATATACGTTTTTACAGATTACATTTTTACACTGATTTTAGGACTCCACGCCTACGCAATGTAGATATGTACACACGTAGACAAATTAACGCATATTTGTATTCATATACTATTCTTACTACATTTTTATCCAATGTTTGTTAGCTTGTTTTCTATCTAGGTAAGCATAACAGCCATGACTATGTCAGTGAAAAAAGCATGATTGACCTTGAGACAGGTTTCATTTGCTACGCGAACCATTCTAAAGCTATAATGTGATCGTATTACACCCACGCTATTTCACTGGAAAACAGATAATTCATTTTAGTCTGTAGAAGTCATTATTTCTTACGTCTGGTTTCATCTAAAAAGTACTAGTTAAAGTATTGATGATCAAGGTATGAAAATAGTTAAGGGACTTATTCAGCATGACTCGGTTACTGTATCAGAGCCTCGTATATATTAAAACACGAAGTTCAGGGAAGACATCTTTCAGTGAACTGATTATTACGCTTTACAATCATATATATATACCGTAGCGACCTATGAATAAGCATGATGATTTAAAAAAAGGTTATAATACTAGATTATGTAGTGATAATAATAAAATAAAAGCTTGTGTGTGTGCGAATAAAAATTCATATGAAATTATGGATATGAAAAATTATATCAGCACTGTATATCAACACTTAAGTAAAACTGAGGTATTAGGTGTTGGGTTATCTGGCCATTAAAAACTACGTATCATGTGTCCCTTAGCTGCACTCTGAAAACTGTATACCAAAGAGACTTAAGGATTGTTAATTAATGACACATTGTGAAATAAAGTTATGTCAAATTTACATATGGTGAGTGGTAAATATCAACTTTTGTGTTAATTTTCAAGGTTCATATGATTTAGTGGCCTGAAACTTTTATCGAAAAAAACCCCAACTTTCGAAGTCGGCGGAAATTTTGTTTTATTTTTCAGTCTCTCATGGTAACTAGTTAAATCTGCTTTTAGAAAGAAAAATATTCCCTTCAAATATATTTTCTTACTCTTAGACTATTTGTTCCTTGTAACAGTTTATTTCTTTGCATTATTATGATTATTTTGCTGCATAATTTTTTCTAATTTTCTGCCTTCACAATATTGTTATTTTCTATTCGTGGTCATATCAAAATGTCGGTTCAAGTGCTACATATTGGGTTTCGAAGCGGAGAAGTATTGCCTGAAAGTTTAATCTTCCAACCTTACTGCCTTACTGCTTTTAACATTATGACGTTGTCGACGAGGTCATTGAGCAAATCAAGTTATTATTGTCTTTATTATCAGTTTGTTCAGTTATTTTGGAAATCGTATACTTCGGTTATTTTTGTTCACTCAATCGATTATTTTAATAAGTAAATTGAAAAGTCATCTGATTGGTGTGTAATCAAACATTGAAGCCATCTAATGACGGATTTTTCCAAACAAACATTTAATATCTCGCTCGCAAACTCCCACCTATCTGCTTTCTTGACATGGTTACGTATTGTAGAGTGCAGTTATCATGGTTTTTTACTTAGTATGTAAGGGGCTTGGCTTCTGTCCTCATCTGTGCCTGTATTCTGTCCACATACAAAGAAATCATAGCACGTGTGTGCGAAGTAAAATGTTAACGAAAATCTATTTCACTACAGGGTTACATTTGAAGATATCAGATCTCAATAGCACTTATATCATCCAGTTATCGTCACCTTGGTGCCTGCTACAAATATACATCAGCTCAAATTGTCATACTATATCATATATAATCGACACAATGTTATATATATTAAACTGTTGAAATAGTAGTAAAATGAATGATGAAAATATTTGTAAACATGTTGGTGTGTAAGTTGGATATAAGATAAATCAATATATCTTATTCCTAGTATTAGTTGCTCACTTTCATTTTTCCACTTCCTTTGCTCATTTGTCTTTATTTTTTCGCTTTTCTTCTACTTTAGACATACTGGACTAATTTTAGATGCAAAGTCAACTTTACGTTTATTAAGAAAATTCTTACAACCATTCGTTAATCGTGACTTTGATCAGCTTATGAAAAAGTATATGGATGTAAGTGTATCATATATATATATATATATATATATATATATATATATATATATATATATATATATATATATATATATAGTTCCGTTATTATTAGATTATAAATACTATTGGAAATATATGGACAACTGTCTCAGCGTTAAACTAGATAAGTATTGCTGTGAATTAGGATTCCAATGAAATGTGTTTTGTTAACTTTGTGTGTTTTCTAAGATCAGTTGCTTAATTGTAAAGCTCTCGTTGATTTGGACAACATCAGCTTTTTCTTCACATAGAAGTAAAATGATCATGTTGCCGAGAGCAACAATGAAAGCTTCACTAAGCTCAGAGAACACAACGAAAAAGCATCCATCATTTTATAAAGGGCTTACTCAACAGTAATACCCGAAAAAAATGCATATTCTAAGTGAAGAACAAAGAATGAAATATATTTGGAGTTTGCGTCATAATTACTCTAGAAACATATTTTTGGTTCTTTGTAATTTGATATTGAATAGAATACTATATGGGTTAATATTTAAACAAAAAACTACTATTCAATCGTTACAAATGTATCTATCAACGGTTTACATTAAGTCATTCATCCATTTACACGTGCCGTTTTTTTAATTGTTCGTTAGACTTGTTCTAACTGACTGACTGATTTGTTAGACTACTTTTCAGTTTACGGTACATATATCAATCAGCCACAACACAGAGCCTGAACGTATGTACATTGGTTCAAGTTGTCATACCTCATTAGCACAGAGAGATGAAGTTGCTAGACCGAATCCCACAATAGTAGAAGTAGTAACAATATCAATGATAGTAGATTAGGCATCGAAGTTATTACTCGAGAAGTGAATATAACTTAGTGAAATAAAAAAATGTTATGAGAAATTGATAATTTCAGAATTTGGGGGAAGACAAAGAATGAATCGACCTTCGTTATTGCAAACGGTTTAGACCCATATCATTCAAAGTCTCTAACCCTTGATTATGATAATCACGCAGACTTCAACCAGGTATTTAGCACCTATGTCTAGATCCAACTGTCAGTGACTTCATGTATTAATACCATGATTTAGTTTTGCCGCTGCCTTCTGCTCCAGAAAACATTGCCCGTCGATGTAGGCGGTGGGTGAGGACACTTAACACTTGTCCCAACCAGCTCAGTTGATGAAGACTTACTACCCCATCGTTACCTAGCACTCTACTCTCAAGACACACGATCAGTAAAATGCAGACAAATACGTGCTCGAACTAGAGCATGATCCGGGCATAATCACGTGCTCTAGAATGTGGAACAGCTATAAGTCTTGTTAATTTGAACGCTTTATTCTGTTCCTAAGCTATTCTGGTAACCCGCAAGCTAGAACTACGCAGCGACCTGAACTCGAGAGAAAAGGTGCAAAGTAAGCGAAAAACACTTTACTCCAAAGGTTCATTTTTGTACAGAAAAACACGGGTATTTATAGATGTTAACATTTGTTAAGTCAACATCATATTTTTGCCAATCCGCTAAAAAACATATTATGCTACTGACCAATACTGGCACGCCACGTTGATATTCTAGAAAGCTCCATCATACTCTGATTGGCTAGGACTCTTCGGCTCGTTTAGGGCCTCTGAAAGATCCGTTGCAGTTCTCGGAAATTTGACTCAACAGACAGTCTTCAACCGATCCCCTTCAACGATGGCTAATGACAATGTGGTCGGTTTGAGTCAATTATGGTGGTCACCACGTCAGACGATATTTCTCCTTATGTTTAACGTCGGTGTGTGCCAGAAATAGTCGGTTATTTGAGCTTAGTTCGCTGTGCCGCAAAACTGTAAGATCTGCATAAGTGCCTCTTGGTTTGATTTGGTCTACCTACTTAGGCAAGGAAATCGCCTGTCATTATTATCAATGTTTAGCATTGAAGATTAAATAGCTTTCTGAAACCTCATGTTTAGCTTCATCCGAGCTGCAATGAGTGGAAATTCATGCAAAGACAACGAATGGGCAACGGCGTGTGTCTCTAACTTTTTGATCTTTTACTATCCTGTTTAGTCGACCAGCGCACAAACTGTCTATTAGAATCCGGTCTAACAGAACCTGTTCCGCTTTAGGACTTAACGCTATACCTACATCAACGAAACCACGGGGAGTAGCACTAAAGTCTCCATATACTTGAAGGGTAAATTGTGGTGGTTCTTTATATTGTTAAGGTGAGGTTATAGGAATAACTGTACTTGGATACTGTATGTGCGTTTCGGCGATGCAGCATACGCCGATAGCGTGAGATCCTAGAGTTCTAGCTAAAGCAGTCTTTTCCCGTCTGACACAATGTCCGAACATTAAAAGTTCAAGCAATTAGTTTAAAACGTAGTTTCGGTAGACCTAATGGAACATGTTATTTATATTTATTTTATTTGAACACATAAATATTGGTACAAGAGGGCACCAAATATATATGCGCCACACCATATTTGTATGTGTGGGCTGTGATACTGCCCGGGTGCCCAGACCGAAGCAGGAATGGAACATGTCAATATAAGTCGCTTGGTTTATTTCGACAGACAAGCTCTACCAACTCGTCAAGATATTAGCTACGGTCTGATATATATATATATATATATATATATATATATATATATATATATATATATATATATATAATAGATGTGAGTAACAACGATGAGACCTATTAGCTTCTTCTGGTAACCTATTTTAAATCATACAGTTGTATGTAGAAAGCAATTGCCTAGTGACAGAGGTAAATGCTACGTATGGTGTTTAAAGCCCCTTTCGTCTAGTTATTTCAGGAGCCAAACAGATAAGTTTAATGTTTTTGTTAGCTATAGTTTTGTCTGATGAAGTAAATTGTCATTTAGTAGAAGGATATTTTAAGTATTTCTTCCTCAAAACGAACCGATTTTAGATAAATATCCAATTTATAAAACTCAATTCCCAAGCAAGTCTATCGCAATCAACATAGAGTTATAAGGTACATCAATTTATACACGCAACTTTGTGACATAAATACCTAAGGTCCGATGACTATATCGTACTGTAGTGAACGAAAACTTCCTGTTTTCTTCAATTCAGTTTTCTGCTGGTAGGCATTCCACTTCCGATTGTTACTACATGCTACTTATATCTATCAGCATAAGAAGCATACACCACAGTACCACTAATTGTTTCTTTTCTGACAGAGCGGTAAAATCCTTAAAGCACAGAGCTGCTACACCAAGACCTGCCTGAAAGAACGTCGAATGTGAGGTTGGCTTGGAGTGCTTGTCCCTACGGCTCCATGGTCACTGTCACACGTCACCACGGTCACTACTAACCTAGTTAGCTTTTCGGATACTTCAAGAAAAAGTGCCTTTCCACGGTATTGACAACTGGTATGTGATAACTACCCACATACTTTTTTGACAAAAGAGTGACGTAGATAGAAAGTAACTGTAAATTAATAGGAATAAAACACGCTTGTTCGAAATAATACCGAACTTTGTATTTTGCTGGTGTGTATCTATTTGTAATAGAATTAAATGGCTTTACTGATTTATAAATACTCATAGTTTCTTAGCTGTTCGCTTAGCTCAAGGTAATAATCGAAATTTTGTCTGTCAGGTTTATGAAATCTATAACGAACTTTCGTCATTACTGATGAAATTGTAGTTTGTTCCCGCCCTGTCTTCATTTATTCACAAATGAAGTGTTTACTAACTGACCAATAGACTGGAATTAATGTTTTATACATAACTGCGTACATTGATTGCATTGTATCACTTGTTTAGTATGATTATTATCATCCAAATCACTGGATTTGTGACTTTAAGTTTCGCTCATTACTCGTACGTAAAATAAAGTTCCACTTTCTTCATAGCTTTGGATTATGTGGCTTTACTCAGTGAATTAAGATTTTGTATACTAGATGTTGCGTCATGATGTGCTGCTAATTTAAGACAAAGCAACAATTTAATATTGTTCTTCCTGGTTTTCAACTGTTGTTCTTCAGTGTAGATTAAAAAACTTCACAAAATAATCGTCTTCCTAGAAAATACTAACGTAGACACTAACATTGTGTTTTTGTTATAAATGTTTACTAATTATATTTTCAGTGATGATTGTATGTGCTTAATGTGATTTCCTTTTAAAGAAAATTTAGCCAAAAAAGATTTCTTTTTTTCTTTCTAAAGTCATATGATTGTAATTTATGTGATTTACAGAAACCTTTTTTGTTTCTTCTTTGAAATTTGTATCTACTTCTTTCTCGTGTGTGTATATGAAAAAAAAACAGGATTTCATTCTACTGGCTGTGAATAATATTCGTGATGTATTAGGTGAACAATCTGTGTCTGAAAGTGATTTGACTAAATTTCGTCAAAGTTTAATCCATCGGGTAAGTTAGTTGTCTGTTGAATATTGGTTTGAATTGATTTTTTAAGATAGAAATGTTTTCACATTTTTATATTCATTGTTTAATATTTCACCTTTGTATTACTATAGAAATAATAAATAATAATCATTAATACTCCAGTGGTAATATTCATGATTGGGATATGTTGTATGCTGTGTTGATTCGTTTCTTCAGTGATGATCACAGTGCATAAAGCTTAATTCTCACAATCTATTCTCTGCTGATGATTAGCTTTACGAGCGTCACATATAGTGTAAAAATGTTGAGTTATTTTGTTTACCGTGACCGCATTGCCGATTAGATCAATAAAGTGTGATCATAATCACTATTAAAAGTTTAAGTTTTTACATTTTGCATCACGAACTGATTTTGGTTAGACAAATATTAAGAACTGGGAGGCATAAGATATCCGTCTCAGTGTAACACTCGATGTCTTAGCTATGTACATCCACAACTCCACTTGGAATCGGATATATAACTTACAGATCTTTAGATTACTGAGTCGCCGTACTACGGTTTACATTTCTCATTTCAATTACTTCTTGATATGATGCAACTATCTTCTAATGCCATTAGTGGTTACCTTGTTCACATGCAACAAGATTGACGAAACATGTATTCAGTGCTTCCTGGTGTTTATTGGTTCGTGGTGTATACTAGAAAAGATTGTGATTAATTATCAATAACTAGAATGTGTGACTGATTTTACTGGTCATCAAGAGTGTTCTGTAAGTGTAATGTTCTTCATATGTATTATTTCATAATTAGATCTTTATCAATAGGCTTCAGTTTCAGTCGTGATTATATTTTCCGAAGTCTACTTATTAATTAGTGCTTTAGTTCTCGGAAAATTTAATAATTTCCAATTCACTTCAGTCTTCTTTTTGTTCTATTTTGTTCAACACACCATGAAATCTTCCCACTATCAGTTGAGAAGTTTTAACATGCATGAAAATGGATTTTAACTGTAAGCAATAACCTATTCACTTGTTGTTTATCATCTTTTTGATGATAGTGCACTATATTCCTAACAAAATAAAATTTTCCCCAAAAGATTATAAAGTAATATAAATTTTGCATTATACCTGTCCCATAGTCATGTATCACTTTCGAAACTATCGGTTTATGCAAGTTAGAATAGTTCTCAATATTCAGTTAAAAACGTTTTCATGTAAAATACAAGGAAAAATGGTTCATTTGAATCGAGTGTATTCTTTTTCATTCCACTTGCATCTGGTATATGCCTGTTAAATAATTAAAAATATTTAGGTTAACACTTCTTAAAGTCGTCACTCATTGACTTAAGCAATTAAATTCGTAATTAGTAGGAAGATCTTAAGCTCATGCTTCTCTCAATTTCATGAAGTTTTAACCATGCGGGGATAGTAATAACAACAGATACCTCTAATCCCCATCTAATCTCAACATAGCGCACTCAGTGTCGCGTCACCTAGACTGATGGTCACAGTGCAACATGGTCGATAGCATTCGATCTGCACTAATAAGGACTTGACACATGTGACATTGATCACCACCCAGTGATCAATCAATTGTGATTACAACAGCTATCATTCATATTTCATTTATGCAAACTTATTCTCATCTGTTGTATTATATTTTTAAACTTATTTTAAAGTCCTCTATAAATTCTGCATGATCCAGTTTCCCAACTTATAAACATTCATTTCTCTAACTGTAATTATGTCATCTTATCATTTCAATTAAAGGTCTACTTTTCAAAGAAGATTATTCTGTATTTTTTATGTACAATTTTTTGTGAAAATACTGGAAAAAAAATCATTTCGTCTAAACGCAAACAACCAGATAACCTTGATTTTATATAATTGTACGATTGCTAGAAGGCGGAAAGTAAAATCTTTAAATTCGAATTTATAACGTTCTTAATGTCTGATAGCTAGATTTTTAGAATCTTCAAGCCTACATTTCTCAATGATTATTGATTGTACATTTAATCCCCATCGGCACATCAACATATCTATCTGATTTTGAAAAAAAAATTCTTCCAAATTTAAAGCATAAATAAATTTTCATTTGTATTGGTTGTTTGAATCTTCTCATTGATGTTTGGGACTGTAACTGATCAGTCTGTTTTCTTGCATATGTACATTCTGTGCTGATTGCCTCTATATTCCCTTAAGTCACAAGCACTATAAGCAGAGATGAATGGTGGCTAGCAATCGAGTTTAGGATGAGCGTTTCGTTCTAACTTAACAACATGATGACGTTTGAAGTGAATGGCACTGAGTTTAAGTCCCTGCGTGAAAATCAACTCTCATTCAGGTACATCTGGCTGAAGAGTCCTAAGTAGGACGAGATACGCGTCCTGGATTCCACTGTTAACCACCATCCATCTCTGCTCATAATTCATCTTTCATCAACCTCTTTCTAAGAACAATAAAAGAGAATTTAACTAAATAAAAATCTTTCAATATTTGATATCTTCCATTGCCAAGGTAGAAAATCATTGAAAATCTGAAAGGACTTGGTACGTGATTTGAGACTCTCTTCGTCAAAATGGATTCTAGATTCACAGGTATTGTTACGACTATCACTATTGAGTTGAAATACAATATTATATTTTCAGCTTCTGTCAATCGACTAACCATTTATTGCGACTATTAGCCAATGCTATCAGTGGGTATGTGCTTCGCTCTACTGACACGGGTCATGGCTTCGCATCATAACTCGGTTAATAAATCTGGATAACCATGAAGCTGTCCAATGGTTATGAAGTTATTAGTTGAGAAACGTTAAATTAAATCCATATGATTCAAAAATAGAATGAAACGCTGGTCCTACATTCTAAGTTGTTGCTGGCTGACTGACCACTAGTACTCGTAGTCTGAATACATTAAAATCCCTAACTAAAAAAGTATATCAAAGCAGTCTGCTCAGAATGAATGTATTGCAACAGAAACTGAACAATACCAATTTTGAATATCAGCGGTAGAAATTTAAAAACTTGCTAATGTGGATCGTTTTACATGTTTTCAGCGAAAAGATAAAAGTACTGTGTCGAAGATAGATTATTGTGAATTTTTGCTTATATTTCCTATGCTTGTTATTTAACTAACTGTTAAAGTTGTTGCTGGCCTGCATCAACACGTGAACTAAGAATATGGAGTGAAGTAGTCGAACGCGTCGACAACTTCACTTATCTTGGAGGTCTGATCAGCCTAAATCGGTTTGTGTCTGACGAAATCTCTGCACGGATTCGTAAAGCTCGTTTGGCTTTTGCCAACTTACGTCACCTATGGCGAAGGTGAGTTATCTGTCTATCAATAAAAGGACGAGTTTACTGCGTGGCAGTCCGTTCTGTCTTAATTTACGGCAGTGAAACATGGCCATTAAGAGTAGAAGATACTCGTGAGCTACTAGTATTTGACCACAGATGTCTTAGAAATATTGCTCGCATCTGCTGGGATCACCTGGTAAGTAATAGGGAGGTTAGACGCATGGTATTAGGGAATGATGGTAAATCAGTTGATGAGGTTATGAATCTTCATCGACTGAGATGGTTGGGCCATGTGATACGTATGCCTGAACACCGATTACCACGACGTGCAATGCTAACCGGTGTTCGGGATGTTTGGAAGAAATGTAGGGGTGGCCAAACCAAAACGTGGCATCAGTGCTTGAAGTCACTAACTTGTAGTCTGAGCCATGTTGGTAGATGTGGACTACTTTGTTAGGGTCCGTGTGACTATCGTAACCAATGGTTGGAGACTCTGGTTGACATGGCTCAGAATCGACCACAATGTCGTAGGTGTATACACTCTCTGTCTTTCCTTAAACCATGAGATTAACACTAGCTTATATCCTTTCTACGATCTAATTCTTTCTCCGTGTATCATACTTGTTATAACTGTGACGGCAGCAGATTAGAGGGTAGCGAATTATTGATCGGACCAAAGTCGCGCAAACACGTAGAACGACCTAGGGTTCTGATTGTCATCAGTGTCCTTGAACGACATTGGTCATACAGTAATTTTCATCACAGGTGCTGATTCAAAGAAAAAAATGACACTCCCTTCCAATCGATTACAGCTGCTCTTTAAACGACATTCGGAGTTATTAGTCAAATTCCGCACGCCGCTGCTAAATCAGTCATGCTATGAAGATGCGACGGAAGTGGATGGATTGATATCTCAATTACACAGTGAGCTGGAAAATGACAGCAGCCTCCATGAATCCTCGATAAACTGTACTTCAAACGAAACAGTCATCCATGATGCGCCCAGTGGTCCAGTACTTTCCATTCCAGAAACATGCCCGGTAATGGAGTGAAACTCCATCATCCCCGAAACAGCATGTACAGACAGTAGCATATCCAGCTCACGAAAAGGTCCGATTGTTTTGCCAGGAAATGTGTCTCAAGCATCGAATAATAATCAAGAGCCTGGTAAGGTTTTGTTGGACGCGGATTATCATAATGATCCATTATCTACTAGAGATGCTCCCCATAAATTTGATAACAATATATCAGAAGATTTAAACTCGGATGATTTCGAATTGAATGGTGTTTATCCTCATTATCTGGTCGATTTTACTGAATTCCCCGTCCAATATGTCTTAAATGCAATCAAATTAATTGTAATTTGGGTTTATGAAGACCCAACATTGTTTCGCGGGGGAGGATATACGCGAAAAAATTTAAAATCCGGTTATCGACTCCGAATCTCCAAAAAAGGGAGGTGTTGGGATATTCAGGAAAATATCCCAAAAATTATTCTATTAAGTCTAATGCTATTCTTGGACTTGGAGATGGTATTATTTTCTTATTGGTCAGTGCTTATTTCACGTGTCATTTTCCTACTGGTCAATATTGTACAATGTTATTTTCTATTTTATGGTACGATGTGGTCTGCTTGATTAGTATATAAACAGAGTGTGTTTGAAATATAATGATTCATATATCCGAGGCTGGGACTTGCATTCTGAACTCAGCTGGCTGGGCTAGA